AGAGATTAATGAAGATATAAAAGAAATGAAAGCTGAAGTTAATGCTGGTAGGACCACTACTGTTGAGTTCTGTACTCTGAATTCTGCTACCATAATTTAGCTATAATAATAATACTAATTTGCATTAATGTATGTTTCATCTGAGGATGATCTCAAAGCTCTTTACCAACGTTGGGACCGATTTTTCAACTGGGTGCATAACAGATGTACCTACAAAACCGTGCATGCACCTGTTGCATCCACAGTTATCTGCACTGTGGGTGAGATTCCTACAAAGCCCAGAGTGAAACCCAATTAGCTTTAGATTTCTTGTTGTCGTTTTCTTTGTCTTTAGAAAACAGAAGAATTCAATAGTCTGTTGAGGGAGTAGCAAGGGAAGAGGGTGTGGACTTGTGCTTGCCAACAGCTCCTGGCTGCCATAATGCGTATATGGGCACAGCTCCGTTGACTTCAATGGAATTTCACACATATACACCAGTAGAAAATATGGCCCAGTGTCTGTCTTTATTAGGGACATTTGCTCCACTGATAATGAAAAATGCACTGTTATATGTTGTAATCTTGAATTTTGCTTTCTAATGTTCTTTAGTTTTAATAATGCTAATTCAATTTTTTATCTGTAATTAGGGTTTGCGGCTATCTACGAGAACATTGGGTCCCTACAGGAAGTTCTAGAAGCCAAAATGAAACTTGACAGGGATGAGCTACAGAAGCAGATTCACCAAAAGAAGCAGGAAGTTCCGACATAGGGAGAGTCGAGACCATGACTGATGACAAGATTTATTCAGAGAGAAGAGCATTTATGTGTCTAAATAGGCTATAACATCATTCCAATTTGTAATTAAGTGAATGTACCAAATAACATGCTTCTGTTCCACAGGTGTGTGTTTACTGTAAGCGGTAAATGCAAGCTTTTAATAGCTAAGCTGATAAATAGTTTTTATGGGGCAAAGCTCTAGCTCACCATTGTCTTACTCCAGTTGATTTCAGTGGAGTTACAGCTGTTTAAAAGTGGAGTAACACATTGGTGAATGTGATGCCAAATTTGTTAAAGGAGCCTCAGTGCTACCTCCACTTTTGTGGGTTTTGAAATATTAGCACTTGTACCCATAGTTAATTGCTCTGTTGAAAAGTCAAGCCTTAACAGGTCAATGTCACTTTGCAATTCACCACCTTGCCAGATCTTTCTCCCATTGAAGTCACTGGAAATGTTCCCATTAACTTCAATGGGAGCAGAACTGGCTTCTAACAGACCAGTTTTTAAAATCCAATACCATCAGAGAATGACACCTTTGCTTCATTAAAATAAATCTTGTGTGTGTGCCTGCATGTGTGTTAACTATATAGTATTATATTTTGTAGTTGTAGGCTAACAATAATCCATTTGAGCAACACAAGCAACTTAACATGTCGTTCGAAGTCCTTAGATATTGTGATCTTTCTAATTAATATCTAGATAGGGCTGAGATGGGGTGAAGGATAGTGTATACAGTATTTTATTGTAAGTTTTAATATCAGTTGTGTTCTTGTGCATTATTTCATTATGTCAGTGTAAACTTTGAGGGTTTTGCTCTCAGTGGAGAAAGTGATCAATCAAATAATTCTGGAGAACATGATGTAAAAATAAGCTGCATTTTGATGTATCTTCAAATGTTTTATGGTCTACTAGGAATTTTTATTGCTGAAGTAAGACAACTGACTCTTCAAATTTAATGTATTTAGGTAGGTTTTAATAATTTAGCATGGATAAGTAGATTTGAATTAGTATTGCATTTACAAAATTTCCAAAGAATATTTTCATCTCTTAATGTACTTTATATTACACTGGTGCTTATTTCAATTTCCATAATAGATTACACAATGAAAATTAGCACCAGCACTGTGTAGTAATCTAGATGGGAAAACAAGTATTTTATATATTCATTCAGGGCCTAATCCTGCTCCCTTTATCATCAAGTGGTGCAGG